GCTCTCTCTCTCTCTCTCTCTCTCTCTCTCTCTCTTTCTCTCCCCTTCTTTTCGCTTCCTTCGAGGCTGACTCACTCTCCCGATCAGGTAAACGTAAACCTGCGTCGGTCGCCACTTCATGTCCGATTCCTGAATCAGTCGCGCAGGCACCAGCGAAACGAGTGCTTCTCGCGTCGTTCTCTCGCGTCGATCGCTCGCACAATTCTCGTCGCACGATTCCGATCGTCGACTCTTCAGTCCAGAGACCACGAGTCCTTGCAGACCGCGATTGTATCTTAATCGTCTGAGGCGATCTGTCAGGCACTCAACAGGTATTTACCACAATCGAACCCAGGACAGTTTCTTTCAGTTTCTTCTAATTTAAAGCATCTAGAAACCTAGACGAGTATATCTAAACACCTATAGTATTTAAATTTCTATAAAATCGCTTTTCTAATCAGACTCTCACCCTTCTTCTCATGTCTAAAATTGTCCTAAAATTTATTAACTTCCTCTGTAAATATTGCATTTATTCGTCGATAATGCACGTAATTGCTTCACAAATATATTTTACACGTTACAAATATTTTTCTATAATTTCGATCGCAATGTTCGTAAATAAATACACAACAATGTAGAGAATAACCCACGTATAGGAAATGTGTCCTGTGTAGGTTGCACGTCAATCGAACATTCTGAACGTTACACACGCGATGATGTAAATCACAGTTCCGCCTTTACTTACTGTTGACATTACTCGGCCTTGGAAATTACAAATGAACCGTTGTCACCGCGGCGATTTTTTTTTTTGGAACAAAACGTGATTCGCTTACAGCAAAACGCGTATTTCGAGAAGTAGGACAAGCGCACGGTAATAATTGTCAAGCTGCAAGAACCAGACTGCTCCTTTTTTCTCGGTAGATCGGTTGATTTACTGCTTAATGCACGATGAATGTTGTCCCGTGGACTACAATAAGATAACTGACACATCCCAGATAACCCATAAAATAAGCGGAACAACGATCTTGGATCTACTAGTTTTATTCTTGAAAATAAAGGCTAGTCGAAGGGAGAATCAAAATTTGATTTCCGAGAAGCAAATTTAAACTGTAAAATTTATATATTTATTCTTTTTTAGAAACAAAATTTAAATTACTTGATTGAAATTGTCAATAAAGATTAGCTACTTCAAAAAAAAAAAAAAACAAAAAAAGATCAATTAAACAAAAATGTATTATTTCACGCGCAGTTGTTATATCTAGAAGTTTAATTATCTATCAAGTTTAAATCATCCAACATTTTTGGTAATGTATCAAAAAAAATTATCGAAGGGAAACATCCTTGAGAAGTGAGTTTCGTGACACTTTTATCATTATTAATATTAGTTTGGAAACTCAAGTCCGTCCGTCTGGTTTTTGTCGTGTATTAGATTATTAGAAATTAGAATTTTCATACGAAGATCAGAAACATTCGGATTGCGTTTTGCGTGATTACGCCGCTTCTCGATTAGGAAACTGCGTCACACGCTTGATGAAGTCCAACTGTGGCGAGATCATTAAGCAGCGAGAAGGCGTACTGATAATAATCCCTGCGCGCGAAAAACACCGTTGTATGCACAACGTGGGTTGCGTACACGTGCATACGTGCGGTGAACGGTAGCCGATAATGGAATCACCATCGCGAATCTCGTTGGGTATTCCCGTATGAGAAATCCGTTCCGTACGAGAAATATGTTTCCGACACCGGAGTGGAAATCCTGGAAATTCTAAAAAAAAAAAGATTTGGAAGAATTCTTAAAAATAAGGCTCTCGGGATATCTGGATCTTTAGAATTAGAATTCTATTTCGAAAAAAACGTTTGGGAAAACGTTCGAAAATAGAAAATGCGGATATTTTATTTTGCCGAATTTTGACGAAAAAGTTACAGGGAACAGGAGTAAACATTGAGACACACATAGTGTGAAAAGTATTCTCCACATTCCGAAAATCGCTTATTCCATCTCTCTCTCTCTCT